TGATGATGGAGGCAGTATGACCTCTGAAACGTTGGTTAACATCTACCAGACTACACGGTGCAACAACCCAGAAGACATAAATCTTCATACTCATCGCCATGATGATGGAGGCAGTATGACCTCTGAAACGTTGGTTAACATCTACCAGACTACACAGCGCAACAAACCAGAAGACAGAAATCATCATTTACTTACTAATTTGTACTTAAGAAGGAAACGAGGAGACATGACTCACACGTTACTGTCTGACAACATGTGATATATGAAGATTGTCGTTCTGCATCAGGGAATTGCACAACTTCTTGACTTCCCTGTAATGTAGGCCACCAAAAATTACCGTGACTTTTACTTGTCTTCACTCTACAAAGAGGGATATTTTAATTCTTGAATAGCACAAATTTCACGCGTGTCTTACAGTGCATACCTGATCTGTTTCCGATACAGCGCCCATACTCTTGATATGCATGTTCACTCTGACCGTCACAGGAGGCCCTGAGAACACAAAGAATGCCACAAGGCTCAGGCATTAAACTCATCTCTTTTGTGAATAATACTACACCATCCACCGGACACCATTAAAGCCGATTCGACGGTAACAAAACTGACTTGTATTCGAGAGGTTATCGTTTCGAATTCAGGCTGGGGCAGCGATAATCCTGAGGTTTATTGTGATTTGCAAGTTTCGTCAGGCGAATGCCGCGACCGTCACCTACCCAATCCTTTAAAGTTCACCGAACGGAATCATCCATCATCTTGAATCATTCGACCTTGTATAATATAATACGACAAAAAGAGCTGACAATATACAGCAAATTGTGATGCCTTTCTGTGCCATCTCGAGCGTAGATCGCTAAACATTTATCAGAACAAAGAATCCTTCCATCAAAAGTTTTAGAGACAAATATAACACTCTTTTCTTTCTAGTACGATATTTTACTAAGTTATATGGCTTTTGAGACAAGTAAACAAAATAAATTGTTATTCTGTCACTCAGTAACATGAAAATCACTGGACTCGGATGACCTGAGTTTGATTCCCGGAAAGGACAGGGATTTATCTCTTCGCCACCGCGTCCAGATCTACTCTGGGGCCATCCAGTCTATCTAATATGTACCGGGGCTCTTTCGCCGGGCTACAGAGGACAGGTCGTGAAGAAGACTACTCACCTCCATCTAATATCGAGGTCAAGAATGCGTGGAGCTATATCTCCACTCCCCCCACGCGTTTACATGGCGTAGTTATTAATTGAGGACAGAAACAAATTTGCTTCCTCACTAGAGACCCTTGTTAGTTTGTTCTCACCTGTTCACGCTATTCATAATGCAAGAGAATAGACAACTTTTGAGAAGCTGATAGTCGCTCAGGTGTTAAACAAATTCCCCGCCTTTTATGTAACCCGAAGGTTCATTGTCGTGTTCACAAGAGCCCCGCAACTGCGTTCCATTTTAAGCCAACTACGACCAAGTGTCCCTTTGATAAATTTCATTAATTTTCCGACTAAAATGTTGCACATATTTCTCATATCCCACATTAGCGCTAGTGTCTCGATCATCCTAATAATAGTTAGTGAAGTGTACAAATTAAGAAGCTAACGCAATTCCCTCCATTTACCATTAATCTGCTTTCTTATGCCCAGATTTTCTCTTGGGCGTTTCGTCTGCAAGCAAGACAAAATATTACAAGTGTTTACACTAAAACTATATTAATAGCGTGACGTCACGTTCAGCTACTGTTATATCATTTCTGCCAAAAAACTACACAATAACAATATTCCTCACAAGAATACTACAAATTAAGTTATCACAGTGAAATATTAGAGTATAAAATATGTACTCCACAGTACATATCTAAGGATCACGTCATATGGACACAAAGGATTTTCGATGTAGTTTGTTAAATATGTTACATCGAAATATCTTTCCTATAAATGTTACGTGTCATAATTATATATATACATTTCACAAGTGCATTACCGCATAACTTAAATTGAGTTTTACTCACAGATAACATAGCCTAAAACACACTTAATCAACCTACCCTCTTAAGTCATATTGGAAAAAACCAATTATTAGGATGAAGATTTCTGTCTTCAGGGTTGTTGCTCTGTGTAGTCTAGTGATGAATCGCCCTGATGATGGAGGGAGTATGACCTCTGAAACGTTGATAAACATCGACCAGTCTACACAGCGCAACAACCCAGAAGACAGAAATCTTCATACTCATCGCCCTGATGATGGAGGGAGTATGACCTCTGAAACGTTGATAAACATCGACCAGTCTACACAGCGCAACAACCCAGAAGACAGAAATCTTCATCCTAATAATTATTTTTTTCCAATATGACTAAGAGGGTAGGTTGATTAAATGAGTTTTAGGTTATGTTATCTGTGAGTGAAACTCAATTTAAGCTATGCGGTCACCGTACTCTAAAGTCGTTCCAAAATTAGTAACAAAAACTTACCACCAAAATCTGGTCTGATTCTTTTGTCATATCGACTCCTGTTTAGAAGCTGGTCGAGAGTTGAAGTAATGTTTTTTGACAGAAAACGATAATCTTTGAGGACAGCACCACTTTGATTCCAGAAAACTGTCAAAATCAAAACAACTGACAAGATGGCGACCACTCGTACACTCATGATGATCTTGAGACAGTTCACTTTTACATTTGACGGAGACGAAGTGTTACAATTAGAGTAAGCAAGAGTTGCAGAACTTTTATCACACACTTAAAAACCGAAAATGTAGTTTTCAGTCTATCTGAAAATTACGAAATATGTATAACTATGGGCAAACTACTTGGCGCATGAGTGACCGTTACACGTCATGCTGAAAACATTTATATTAGGTATCAATTATAGACAGCAGCTCAAATTGTGCAGTTGAGTGCACAGCCATAAACGTTTTCAATTATCACAATCCTTCTAGAATTGTGACGTCACGCACATGCCAAATTCTTTGTCGATTACAATAATACATTTTAAACATTTTACAATTAACAATAACAGAAAGTAAGTAAAGTAAAGCTGTCCTACTACACACCATGCAGGCGCTTGGGGGGGGGGGGAGAAGTAGTATAGCTCCTCTTTTCAGAAAATAATTTTATCAAACGTTTAGACATTCTGTGGTGTTTACTACCAAGACAAAAAATTACATATACCACGTTAAGAGCTTAAAATTCATAACGTGGTAAACATGAATAGTGAAAAAAATTGATCATTATTTCTCATTAACAAAGAAAATTCGAAATAATGGCGATCAAAGAGCGAGTTAATCAATATCTACAGTAGGAGTAACTACTACAAACGCCACTTCGACTTGAATATTAACCTGATGCCTATGAAATAAGAAATATAAATATATTATTACTATTACTTTATTAGGTTTATGCTAACACTATTAAACAATTTAATGCACAGAGTATCACAATATGACCTCAGATATATCATAAATTAAGATCCACAGACATTGTGACAACACACGTTACATTTAATTTATAAACCTAACAAACAAACAAACTGATGAAGCACGCGATAAATTTAAGTCAGAAAAACATAATTCGTAGCCAGGAAGAACAACCAACAGAGACTAAGTGGAGATTTCGTTCGACGCTGGATATCTTGTGTCCAAGACTGGCAGAATTTT